TGGTCAGTTTCAGCAGCGGCTGAATCTGGACGCCAGTTCCGACTTACATACAGATTCAACTTAAGAACAAACCTACAGTCCCTATCTTGTACGTAACCCGGGGACTGCCTGTATACATATTGCGGATGTCACTGTAAATAAAAGCAACCAGTTTGTCTCTAAATTTCTTTAGCGTCCACTAACCAGGAAGAGTAAAAAGGCATAGGACTCAGAGATTATATTAAACCATAACATTGTCTTTTTGTTAAATATTTTTCTTTACCTGCTCTGCTGTAAACAATGGTTCATCACTGATGCAAGAAACTATGATAGAATGCATATCCAGCTGTTCTCTAAGTTCTTCATCATCCGATAGGTCAAGGTTCAAATTTTCATTTAACTGAAAGCAGGCACAGAAAAAGTAAAAGGGCAAAAAGTTAAAATTACAATAACAAAAGAGTCTAGATGTCACCAATGAAACAAAAAAATAGATTTTTGCACATAACCAAAAATCTAAAAGTAATCGTATACCATTAAACCTAATAAACCCCTGTAACTGAAGTGTATTTTATTAATTTGATCCTGTTTTGTTTTGACAAGAATAGTATACATATTCTTTACTTTTCCAAAGGACAACCCAAAATGGGATTTAAAATAAATGCACACCACCTACTTAATGCCATGCAAACATTTGTAGACTAGGCAATCAGTTCATCAATCTCATGTAAATCATCATGCACTCCTTCAAGTAGAAGCAAGATATCAAAACAGGTCTATCAGTGAAAGGATACACAACAGATTTTTATTTATCAGACTTTATTGTAATTTTAAAGACTAGTTCGTAAGATTACAGCTATTTAAACTGCTGTTACCAGAATTTTTTACATAAGAACCAACAGTACATTTTATCACTTACTATATATACAATCTATATATAATTAGGAGCTAGGGTGAACAGACAATTCAAGGCTGTGATGTTCTATCATTAAACGAAATTACTTATTTTCTGGAAAACACCACACACATACTATGAGTTCTAGGGGTGCTGGCAGCCTCTTCAGGCCCTGGGCAAGGTGTACAGGGAGGGAGGGGGCTCCATGCTTCCAAAAGGGGCAAAGCTTTGAGGAGAAGAGGTGGGGCCAGGGGAATTCAGCCCTCTGTGCTGCCTGGAAAGCAGCACCTCCTCCCACAGCTCTCATCACCGCCTGGAACCTGTGCCACGGTGCTCCAGGTGGCAACTTGAAGAGCTGGGGGCTCTGGCAGCTGCTGCTGTTGCAGTAGCAGTAGCCAGGAGTCCCAGGCCCCTTTCAATTGCCAGGCCTCAGGGGAATTGCCCCCTTTGCCTCCCTCTTGTCGGTGGGCCTAATGGGATTCACTGCAGAAATATTTGTTCTTTAAACAAAAAGGCACACAATCTTGTAAAATCTTGCATCTCCACATGTAAGACTGGGGGACACAAAAATCAAGTGCTCAGCCTAATAATGTTAGGCCTACCATTCTGCCATTAGATAATGATGTACTTTTACCGTATAATTTGCATTTTCAGAACCTTGCCTATTTTAAAGTTTCACCCTAGCCAATCTAGGGATATGTCTACACAGCAACATTATTTCAAAATTACTAGCATTATTTCAAAATAACTTAGTCCACATCTACACAGCAGGCAGTTATTTCAAAATAATGTTGAAATACTGTCAAGCTGGTAGACTTCTTACTCCAACTCCTGTAATCCTCATTGTACGAGGCGCAAGGAAAGTAGGAGGAAGAGAGCTCTATTTCGAAATAAGTGCTGTGAGGATGCTCCCAATTTCAAAATAAGTTATAAGCACACTACCTTCCACATGCTTATGACTTAACCAATCAATGGAGGTGCTAATTGGTCTTATTGGCTTCTTGTAACTATTTGAACCATCTACTTAGTCTCTCTTTTTTCTCCTCTCCTCCTTTTTTCTCTTTTTTCCCCTCCTCCTTCTCCCCTTCCCTTATTTATTCTTGGATCTGGACTTCTAATACTCCTGTCATCTGAAGAAGTGGGTTGTGCCCACGAAACCTCATGATACCATCAACCTGTTTTGTTAGTTTTTAAGGTGAGATTAGACGATATGTTGTTTTTTAAGTTTTTCACATTTAGAGTTTATTGAGTACCCTGTTATGTAAAACGTGCTATGTTTTGATTTTAGTATTTCTGGTGCTCAGTGCAAATTTAATCAAGCTTGTGGTTGGATGCAAATATACAATCTTCCCAAATACCACACCAAGCATCATTCGAAAATTGGGGTATCCAACCTCTTTTTTCAAGCACCCAGCTATTAGGCTGCAAAAGAATATCCAAACTTTCAAAATATGTTTTAGTACATTTGTATTAATAAAATGAAACTTCTTGACTAAGTAATGATACCTATTTTCTCTATTAGTAGAAAGGGGCAAGTGTTGCTACAATTCAGTCTCATTCAGGTTTTGTAGAACAAGGAAGTATATTTGGGCTCTGATCCTGAAACTGGATCCACACAGATCCAGGGACTTGCCTGTACCTATATGAATGCAGAACATGGTCTTGGTGGGAAAAAGTTCACACGGATTTACCAAGACAACAAAGATATTCACCAAAGGTTTTCTTTCTTGTGTCATTCAATACAAAACAAAGAGGCAAGCCTTTAAAAGTGAACAAGACAACTTCCACAGTTTATTACTGTCTTTGCCTTACTCCTCTGTTATGCAAATTGGTTTATTTGTTGACTGTCAGTCAGTTTAGAAGAAACCCACATCATGATACTTTACTGACAGCAAGAAGCAGAAATGTACGTATCAGATATGTCAGTGTTAAAAGACAAACATCATCGCCAATGTCGATATAAACAAACTAAAAAGAAAAATATTTTTAAGTGATCAAGAATAACTGTTTTAATAAAAATTATATCCTATGTTGCTTCTGTATCAAGAGAAAAAGCCCCCAAAGGTTTTTGGCTAGAGTCAGAACTTACTCCTTTTTCTGAAAGATTCAGTGTTGGCATGTGCAAAGCTCTGGTGTGGGAGGACTTCCAATCAACAGGCATTACATTACCATAATTATCAGTCAAAGCATTCCAAATCCTGGACAAAAGGATGAAAGAAACAAAGTGACATTAAAATGAATAGCAACTAGGCTACAAACAAACCAAATCAAAGAAACCAAAACAAAAAAGGATTATCTTTTTTCAAAAATTATTTTAAACATTTTCATGGTAAAAAAAATAAACACTGCAAAGGTTTAATTTTTGTATCCTCCTGGCATGCAAACAAACAAACAAAAGGAATCATTTGCTGATGCTTATACCTCAAGGAAATAAAAATAAAACTCAAAAAACTATGCTTCCTGATGGACGAGGTAACAAAATTTTGGGGGGGGAGAGGGAAGAGGAGTTTTCTGCTTGTTGAAATGCTAACCAGCCAATGTTCTTTACGCTCTTTCCTATTTCTTATAGGCTGTGTCTAGACTGGCCAGTTTTTCTGGAAAATCAGCTGCTTTTCCAAAAAAACTTGCCAGCTCTCTACACTGGCCACTTGAATTTCCGCAAAAGCACTGACTTCCTACTGTAAGAAATCAGTGCTTTTTGCGGAAATACTATGCTGCTCCTGTTCAGGCAAAAGTCCCTTTTGCACAAAAGTTTTGCGCAAAAGGGCCAGTGTAGACAGCTGAGATTTGTTTTCTGCAAAAAAGCCCAGATCGCGAAAATGGCGATTGAGGCTTTTTTGTGGAAAACGCGTCTCGATTGGCCATGGACGCTTTTCCGCAAAAAGTGCTTTTGCGGAAAAGCGTCCGTGCCAATCTAGACGCTCTGTTCCGAAAATGCTTTTAACGGAAAACTTTTCCATTAAAAGCATTTCCGGAAAATCATGCCATGTTGTTCTAATTTCCCTTGCCACCGGCCAATATGAAACTAATCTTGATGGGCAAAAACATTTTAGTCAATGGGATCATCTTAGGAAGAAAACCCACCTGATGCTCACTGTAATGCCAGTCTGTGTACCTTGCAGAAAACATGTGGCAATGAAATGTACCCACCTTGGCTGACCTGGATTAAAACAGCAGCAGGCAAGCGGTTTATAACCCCAGGGAGAAAGCACAGAGGCAATATGTTGGCTTTTAATGTTGCTTTGAAAGATAAGGCCAAAGGAATGGGCTGAAAAAAATCTGATGAGGTTCAACAAGAACATGTGCAGAGTCCTGCATGTGGGACAGAAAAATCCCAAGCACTGTGACAGGCTGGGGACCGACTGGCTAAGCAGCAGGTCTGCAGAAAAGGACCTGGAGATTACAGTGTATGACAGTGGTTCCCAACCTGTGGTCCACGATGGTACTGCAGGGGTGTCTGTGGAAAGTTTAAAAATAAGGATTGGGCCCACCCACTTTTCCTTTTCTTTTTTTTCCTCCCCCAGGAAGGGGGGAGGGCGTATGCTTGGAAAGTTTTTGGAACCACTTGTGTATGAGAAGCTGGATATGAGTCAACAGTGTGCCTTTGTAACCAAGAAGGCTAATGGCATTTTGGGGTGCGTTAGTAGGGGCACTACCAGCAGATCTAGGGAAGTGAGTATTCCCCTTTTTTTGGCACTGGTGAGGCCACAACTCGAATATTGCATCCAATTCTGCTCCTCCATCACAGAAGGATGTGGACACACTGGAGGGAGTCCAGTGGAGGACAACAAAAATGATTAGGGGGCTGGAGCATATGCCCTAGGAGGAGAAGCTGAAGGATTTGGGATTATTTAGTCTCAGAAGAGATGAGTGAGTGGGAGAGTGAGGGGGGATTTGATAGCAGCCTTCAACTTCCTGAAGGGGGGGCTCCAAAGAGGATGGAGGGAGGCTGTTCTCAGTAGAGATGACAAATGATAAAAGGAGGCGCAATGATCTCAAGCTGCAGTGGGGGAGGTCTAGGTTGGATATTAGGAAGAACTATTTCCCTAGGAGGGTGGTGAAGCACTGGAATGGGTTACCTAGGGAGGTGGTGGAATCTCCATCCCTGAAGGTGTTTAAGTCCCGGCTTGACAAAGCCCTGGCCGGGATGATTTAGTTGGGATTGGTCCTGCTTTGGGCAGGGGCTGGCTGAGCTCCTGAGGTCTCTTCCAGCTCTATGGATCTATGAGGAACTACGGGCAGCAGCTCTGGCCAGCGTCGAAGCACTGGAATGGGTTACCTAGGGAGGTGGTGGAATCTCCATCCCTGAAGGTGTTTAAGTCCCGGCTTGACAAAGCCCTGGCCGGGATGATTTAGTTGGGATTGGTCCTGCTTTGGGCAGGGGCTGGCTGAGCTCCTGAGGTCTCTTCCAGCTCTATGGATCTATGAGGAACTACGGGCAGCAGCTCTGGCCAGCGTC